TATCAAATAAAAACCTAGCAAGCTAACAACCTAACTCATAATTCAATTATCTCAAGCGCAGAGTTCGAACACAAGGAAGATTAGGATTTAGAGTACTAAACCATGGAGAATTTTTGTTAAGCTAAAACATAAATAAGAGTTTAAATTGGTTTTTCTAAGCTAAACAGAAATGCAGTAATACGTAAAATGAACAGAGCAAGAATTAAATGTAAATGCAATGATAGTGAAGGCATTGAGCAACGGGTTGACAACTGATAAAGGAGCAATAAATCATGGCTAATAAAGTTAGGGGTCTCGTGATGAAGGTCCAGTTTACAAGCATGGAGCACGAAATCAAACTAGTCCACTTTCATGGCACTAATCACTTTGTTGAATACAAAAATCTAACTAACTTTCGCTGCTAGATATATGTACGCTCCAAGCATAAATGGTCAAGCTCCAATAAGTTCACTTAGCGCCTGAACAAAAACTTTCGTGGTCAAGGATTACTAAGCCAAGCAAAAGGTCGTTCATGCATTCCCACAAACACCTTTCGGGCAGAGGAACACCTATCATCACGATCCGAGACACGATTAACCAAGTTTTAAACTCAACTTAAGCTTGAGAACACTTCATGGATGACTCAAAAAAATGTTAACCACTTTCTAAAGTCCCTAAATCTACCAACCGTAGCTCAATAAAGAGACTACTAACCCATGGCTACGGAACAAGCCATGACCAAGCTCGAGTGGTGTGTGTATGGTAAAATGCAGAAATGAAAATGATTCTCAAACAAAAATTAAAACTTTAATCTAAAGATTGAAACTTTATAAAGCAAAGAACTTAGAAATCAAAGTATCGATGCCTTAAGGGTCGATTATCACTACAACGTAAAAGGAAAGCTTCAAAAGCGTTAAAGAAAAGAAAACAAAATTAGGTTTTTCAGGGGCTAAGAACATATTTATAGCCCCTCATAACAGTACCTGGGTCGACTCAGAAAGAAAACGATCCCGCAATAGTCAACGGTCGACCCTGAAAAATCAACAAAATACGATAAAGATCAGTCACTGCATATCAAGGAAGTAACCGATATCATGTGCCGTTCCAATGATTCATCCAGCAATCGTGTCGCGACATTGCATCTTCGTTTGGCGCAGGTTATTGGTCTTTTTCATCGGTCTGTGTCGATATCAAGGGATATCGATGTCTTCAGCTTATTATTCAGCAAATATGGCACGCCTGATCCAACGGTCGGAGAGTCTTGATGCTCCATCGTGACAAGGGGATAACTTGGGACATTTGTGCACTAGTTTGGAGGCACTGTCATCCTGATTCTCGATCCAAATCATGAACTTCAGTGTATTGGTTGAGACTCCATATTTCCGCTGTTCCAGTGCGTTCTAACGGTGAGCCATGATGATTGATGACCGATTTCTGCTCCTCTGCTTCCTCTCCTCAGCAACCCACTCCAATCTTCCAGGTTTTGATAAGCCAGGTAACTCCAATTCAGCGCAGATACCACATGAAAAAGGGTAAAAGAAGAGAATTATGTTCAAACACTAACTTAAGACCCGAAGATGCAAACTTAAACTAAACTAGAGGTAAAAAGACTCCAATATGATGCAAAATGATGCTTAACTAAGGATAAAGGAATGCAATTATGTACATAGATGATGTAAATATATAGACATATCAATAATCTCTAAATTAGGGACACCAATATGTGAGCACACTTATTAATCATAGTAGAATAACCAATGAGATTTAAAATATTTTTTTTTCTTCTTTTGAAAACCAAATAAAAGTATTTGTTTTCTACAGACAATTAGTAAAATAGTTCTTACACTATGTCGATGGCTTATAAATGGATACATTTTCTGCTATGTTAAGATGCAAGATACAAAAAGAGGTAAAAAATGAGATCCAAACCATAACATTGACAACGTGAATGGGTATTCACATTAACGTTCGAAGTAGCTTCACTATTAAGAATACATTGTTTTAGGCATTTTCAATCTATATTTTTTTGTCAACAAGCGTAGTTCATTCATTTAACCGATCAAAATACAAAGGGAGAGAATTAAGCATCCTCCAAGGTTACTACAACATAATTTAAAAGCAATACAACATCGAGTAGATAGATCATCGCAAAAGATGGACAATGAATCTAAAACATACCTCGGATGCGTCAAGAGGGTCTTCGCGGCAAAGCCGGAGAGTCTCAGNTTNGTCACTTTCCAGTGTGACTTTGAAGATCCCGGCATAGAGCTCGGGAATTTGACCATTCTCTAAGAGGGAAGAAGATTCGACCAGTAGAGCTCGGGAATTTGACCACTCTCTAAGAGGGAAGAAGATTCGACCAGTCTCAAAGAGATGGAACACGGTGGAAATGAACTCTTCCACCAGGAGTAATTTACAATATTTGAAAATCCAGAAAACTTTGGGCTTCTTAAAAAGGAGAAGTTACTAGGTTCAAAAGCATGTAAGATTTAAAAAAAATCTGATTTTTAACACTACAAGGACTAGGCCAAAATTATTGAGCAAGTTGCTCCAATTGGGCCTAAACTCTATGGGCTTTGAAAGGCCCATTTTCTCTTCACAAAGGCCCATCTTCACACTCAAGCCATCACGATGGATGGTGTGGGTTGAAGAAATTTGTGGCCATTGACGGCCCATCCATTTTTCTGGCGACGAAATCTCCGGTGAATGGCGGGATTTTTCCGGCAAGATCCAAGACTAGATGGCCGCAAAAAGGGATTGAGATTTCAGAAAGGTGAGGCGTTGTAGCCACTATGGTGAACCCCTACACCGGCAGAGGGGAGGGGGGGGAGACTGTTCTCTAAAGAGAGAGAATTCGCCGGTGTTGGCGACGGAGACAACTTTGATCTATGCCAACGGCCATCGGTGCAGATCGGTAACTAGGAGATGGTAGTGGCTTGGGCAACCGTCATCGATGCATCGTGGAAACCATCTAGATCCGGTGTCGTTTTGATCTAGTGAGGTTGCCGACTGAGCAAGACGGTGGTGGAGGATGAAAAGGCTGAACGCACGCGATAGTGCAAGAGATAAATCTGGCGGGTCCGGCGGCTCAGGTGGAGGAGATGGCCTCACCTGTGAACCCTCCGACATCTTAAAATCTCGAGAGAGGGGGGAGCGGAGGACGGAGATCGGAGTAGAGCCAAGGGCAACCGAAACTATCCCGGGGAGGGGGACGGATGGAGATCGGAGGATTGGATCTCTCCAGTAAAAAAGCACACCGGCAAGTGGCAAGGGATGCCTCTTCCTATCGCATATCGAATGAAGCAGACTGCCGGCCATACAATCTGAGAAGATGTCGACGACGGCTGTCTCGGGACCAGAGACAGAAAGCGTTTCTCTCTAAAGCGAATTCTATTTTCAGTCTATATTTAATATCTCTTATTTATATAATTAACATGATGTAATAAAAGTAAAGTATAAGATATTAATTAGATAGATACATAAATATATGACATAATTATTACTTTATATTATCTAATATGCTAAGCTCATACTTGAGAAATACATCCAAGTAATCGAAATCAATTTTTCTTAGATGATGAATATAACCACATAACATGGTGGTGTAAATAAGAGAAAAGGAAAATTATTGAGAAAGTTAAGGATCAGGAGGGGATGATGGAAATAAAGGGTTATGGGTGAGGATGTTGACAAGGCAAAGACAAGAGCCTGATTTGATGGGCTTTGGTATGTTTCTTTGGATGTGATTTGTCTCTCCCTCTTCATCATTCACTCTCATTTCCTCTACTTAGAAATTGAAGGACACTCCAAGTCTAAGTTTGA